TTTAGGGTTTAGGGTTTGGATGTAGATGGCGAGATGAAGCTTAAGGACCAAATTTTGCCTTAAACCTAGGCTACCGATACCCTTATACTATGAATTTTTACATGGTATAGGAACCCTTAAACCCTTTTAGGGGTTCTTTTCGTCCTTAAGCCTAAACCCTAAACCCTAAACCCCCTAAATCCGAAAACCCTAAACCCTAAACCCCTTTTAGGGTTCTTTTCGTCCTTAAGGAATTTCTCGAATCGCCCCACCAAGTCCCGCACCTTGGTCATCGTCAGGTCTTATAGCCTAAACCCGACACCCCAAACCGTAAGCCCCAAACCGTAAGCCCTAAACCCTAAACCCCAAACCCCAAGCCCTAAGCCCTAAGCCCTAAACCCTAAACCCCTAAAACCCCTAAACCCTTACTAGTTCAGGGGGAGGCCGTGGCCATGGCCAGGGAGTGCAAAGCCTTGGACACTGGCCATCCGATGGCCATCCTTTACAATCCTTTAAACACTAACTTGGCTTAGGGTTTCTAGGGTTTAACTTGCTTTAGGGTTTAGGGTTTAACATGCTCCAGGGTTTTTAGGGTTTCACTTGCTTTAGGGCTTTTAGGGTTTAACTTGGTTTCGGGTTTAGGGTTTAACTTGGTTTAGGGTTTAGGGTTTGACTTGGTTTAGGGTTTAGGGTCGGTTCTTCAGTAAGACCAGTTGATACAAGTCTTTAAGTCGGCAGGTTATTTGGGCCAACGCAAGGCTCATGGGCACTACTCAACCTGTGATTAGGGCTGTGCAACTGGGTCCAACTGTACAGATGGGTCGCGTAAGGGGACACCACAGTATTCCACACTGTTCAGGTGCAATCCCCCACTGTCAGTTGTCACATTCTAGGACCGTCTTTGTACCCTCAAATAGCGGTATATGGTCCCAAATTAAGGGCATTTAGTGTCTAATAGAGGGTAGATGGACGGTCTAGGTTACCGATCCTTGAACTTTAAGTTCCCTGCCCGATAATACGAGGGCCCAGCTCTAAGTTGCAGCAGGGTTCCCAGAGACTCCAATATATACCTTAAAGTCTTATTAGGGTTCCTATTATAATTTAAGGTATATTACAGGAAACGCAGTTGAGCAGCGATTACTAATCCGTAGTTAAGGGATACTGTATTGGAGTCGCTGGGTTTAGGGCTCGAGAACTTAAGAACTTACCACTCACATGCAACCTCCTGGAAACGGTACGCGCCTGTGGGGATACTCCCAATTTCCAATAATTTCTCGTTGTTACCTTGAAGTCTGCCCCAACTGAGACTCGCAGAGCCTAAACCCTAAGCCCTAAACCCCAAAAAAGCCCTTCTTTCCTGCCCTGGCTGCTGTTTTGATCTGGTTTAGACTGAAAACAAACAGCCCTAGAGCCCTAAAGACCCAGACGCCATAGCCTGTTAGCCCCATCCCTAACGCCGATCTTACGGTTAGGGCTTAGGGTTTAGGGTTTAGGATTCCCCCCCCCCCCCTTTCTTCATTCCGGCTACGATAAAGGCCTTCACGCGGCACTTGCGCTCGATGTGACCCAGATCTGCACCGATGCCTCCGGGCCACCGTTTCTGGAGGCTCGGATGGTTCCCCTCAAATTGTCAAAGGAGCCAGATTCTACGGTAGATGATATGACTCCTGCATTACCTTAAGGACCCTGAACTATGAGAATTACGGTATATTCCTTATTATGGGTAATGCAAGATAAATATCATCAACCGTAGTCCTGGTCTAGTATCCTTGACATGAACCCCATTATAGAACCTTTGAACCCGGGTTGGCTTGGAGGTCTTCGGGGTGGAGGTGTCCCATTGCTGGCCGAGGGCTCTAGGTTTAGGGCTTTGAGGTTTGGGGTTTGGGGGTTTAGGGCTTTAGGGTTTGGGTTTAGGGTTTAGGGTTGCGACACCGGTGCTAGGAATCGGGACCCATGGACCTCACGACCGCCAAACTTTGGCGGCATGGAAGCTTGTGTTTTCGGAGCGTCGACACTGTAAATCCTGATGGAAGCAGCCTCTACCTTAAGGACGAAATGAACCCTAAAAGGGTTTAAGGTTCATATATCATATAGGGATTCATAGTATAAGGGTATAGGGCCCCCTACTTATCAAGGGTCATGTCGTCCTTAAGGTATCCCGAACATGAAACCCCCGACATCCGCAGATCCTGCACCCTCAACCCTCGACCCCGAAGCGCCAGATGTCAACACTCCCCCATCGAGCCCGTACTGTTGATGATAGAAATCCTTAGCATTACCTAAAAAGGACCCTCTCTCCCTCTCTCTCTCTCTCTCTCTATAATATATGTGTGTATGTATGTATGTATGTATGTATGTATGGGAATTATGGTATATTCCTAATTTT